CCCCCCCCCCCTTTTGCAACAACTCAACAAAACTCCCAATGTGGAATGGAGCAGCGGGCAGGCGGGGAGCAATGTTTGGAGCAAGACAGGCAGGCAAGGCCAGGATAGTGGAGAGGGGTTGTGGGGAAGCCCCTGGCCTATGAGGCAGGTGGGGGATGGGGGAGGGCACCTAGGCACTAGGTCCCAAGAGCCAGCTGTGGGGGGAGGGAAGGAAGGAAGGGGTAGGGGGCACGTGCAGTCCACGGCTGCCCCCGCAGCACTCCACATGGGGCCAAGACTTGGTTGCTCGCACCTGGGGTGGCCCGCACTGTATTCAGGCAGAGTGGGTGGAAGGCAGCCAGGAGTTGAAGCCAGAGCCCCATGTGCCAGGGCAGGAACCACCTGGCTGAAACTTCCTTACCTGCAAGTAATGGTACAGTAGGAGCAGGAGAAGCCACTGGAAGCTGTACACACTGGCTAGGTCCAGGGCCAGACACAGGCTGCCCAGGGCTAGGCTTGGCCCTATGCAGAGTGCCGTGGGGACAGTTGTGAGCTGGATACGATCAACTGATGGGTCAGATCCAGCCTGCAAGTTGTATTTTGACCACCTCTGGTTTAGAACATGCCTCACCCATTCCTAGGGGAAATGCTCCAATTGCTACACAACTATATAAAAGGTAGGCACTGGCATCAGCAGCACTAATGAGGTGCCTACTCAAAAAAGAATACCAAGCCCGGGATCCCAAACAGATGGAAACACCTAATGTACAGATTTGACATGCCTACACTCCAGAGAGGGCTGGGAATTTAGATATACATCTAAGTCAAGGGTTTTCAACCTTCTTTAGTCGAAGTACCCCCGCCTGCCCGCATGTATCCCCTAAGACCAGTCCAAATACCCCCGGTTGACAACCCCTGATCTAAGTTATCCTTACCTGTTGGTGAAGTACAGGCACTGCCTCAGGAACCTCACTCTCCCCAATGACTGCATAAAAGGAATGTAGGTGCCTAACACCTTGCCACTGAATTACTCTCCTGGGACCCAGCACATAATTTTAAAATTAAGCATGCTGAAGCCTAAACTGGAGGCACCTATGGGGCCAATCTAAATTTTGCCTGAAGCTACTAACCTGGTTTCACTGGGTTTAAATTGGCATTATTAGCATTGGTTTCCAATGAGAACAGTTCAAAGAGGTGCCTATCAGTTTCCAATTAGGGGGTAAAAAGCATGACAACATCCACATAGCCCATTAGCTATATGCCAATCTAATCTCCCTCCCCTTTCTGTTCCATAAACTTCTTAAACATACAATAAACATAATTCCCATGGAATAGAAAGACTATTTGCCATATGCTTAATTTACATAGCAGTTCTTTGCTACAGTTTGTTAACGTTTTTCAACTCTCTAGCATTATAATGCATTTTACATATAATATATGCATATATGACTATGTAAAGGCCCCAGGAAACCAAGTATATAATCTTTTTAACAGCACCTTTTTGAAGCACAGAGTATCATTACTAAGTGCTTATGGGGCATTCATCTCTTCAACACATTTCTGCAACAAATAAAATGGGAGTATGCAAGCTAAAGCCTCTTTTACCACACAACTGAGACTCAAACCAATACAACTTCATTTGTACAATGAATGAAAGTAAGGATCCTTCAGAAAAAAAACAGCATGCGAGTGTGTAATAAAGACTATACCAAAGGAGCCAAATTAAGACTGCATACAGAAACTTAATTCTGGTATTAAACTGAGTGCATGAGTGAGTAATTATCTCTTAATGTAACCTTAGTTTTTACACAAGTGAACTGAGAAAAGAGGAGTTCTACCACGTGCCAGAGTTGTAATCTATTGATCCATCATAGACCTCCTGACACTTGAGCTAATAGCAGGTGTCAGTAGCTCACAGCAATGGTCTGCATCAGTTATGCAGACTAGGGGGTCTAGGACATTTTGCTAGTGGGTTTCAGACTTACTGGCAGTTGAGGGGTAGTGTGACTCAGGGACCTAGGTTTCCACTTCCACCTTTGGAGGGGAGGGTGCTTTTATGGGAAGAGACTTTTCTGTTCATTCCTTTCCAAAGTGTGTCCCATTCTACCCATATTCCTCACACCTGTCTCTGCCAGTCTTATCTCTGCCCAGTCCTTGGGTCAGGGGTGGGCAATTATTTTGGGTGAAGGGCCACTTCATGAATTTTGGTGAGCTTCCGAGGGCTGCATAGGTAGCCGTGCCCCTTAACAGTTGCCCCGCACCCTCGTTGCCACCTTGGGACCAGAAATCCCACCTTTAACCCCTGACCTTTTCCACTGGAAGACTCTCCCCTTGCCCCCTGGAAACATTCCGGGGGGGGGGGGGGGGGGCCC